AGAGAAGGATTCAGGGAAATTGGGAATTCCCTTGCCAGGAAAGCAGCTCCAGCTGCACTCCCTGCCCGTCCTCACCCCATCCAGGCTCCGCGCGAACGCCGGGATCCCGACAAACCACGGGGATCTCCCTGGGGCTGGACGCTCTGGAGCTGTTCTCGGGGAATTCCGTGGGAAAGGGGCTCCTGTTTTCTGGGAATTCCGTGGGAAAGGGGTCCCTGTTGTCCAGGAATTCCGTGGGAGAGGGATGTGGGCCAGGGCTGCTGCTGCACTGGGCATCCTCTGTGCCCGTGCCAGCCCGGAGCGTGCTCTTCCCAAAACTGCTGCAGCTGGAAAAGAAATTCCAGAGGGTTTGCCAACGTGGAATCATTCCTAAATCCCGTCCGCACAATCCCAATCTGTGTTTTATCCCTACAAATTTGGGATTTTATCCCTACATCCCACAGGAATGCTGTGTTATCCCAAAGTTATTGCTGGAAAAAAACGATGTGGGATTTTTTCCCCAACTGATTCAGGCACAGGAATTTTTTGTTTCCAAAAAAAAACATCCGAGAAGTTTTAAAAAAAAGGTGGAAAATCCTAAAAATCCCTTCAGGATCCTAAAAATCCCAAAGGACGGGATTCATGGCAGTTAAATCCAGGCTTATTCCAATTTATTTCCCTGGATTTGGGCTTTTCTTGGAAAAATGAACCTGCCAGAGCTGCTCGGAGCATTTTGCACCCAAAAAGAATTTTTTCCCCCCAAAAAAGGATTTTTTTCCCCAAAAAAGGATTCGTACTTGGTCCAAGGCTGGCAGTTCTTGTTCCCTCCTCTGGAGAAAGTCCCTTCGGGACATCGGGAGCACTCTGGGGAAAAAAGGGATTATCCAGGGAAGTGGCAGAATTCCCAGATTTATCCACTGGGTGATTATGGAAATTATCAGGGATTATCAATTATGGAAATTACCCAGGAAAGTGGCAGAATTCCCAGATTTATCCACTGGGTAATTCTGGATTATCCAGGATTATTAATTGGATATTATCTGGGAGGATCCCCCAATTCCAGCCAGGAATTGCCACATGGGAGGCAGGATTTTGGGAAGGCTGGCACATCCCAGAATTCCAAAGGGAATTCCAGCTGGTACATGCCTGAACTCACTGCTTCCCAAGGAAATTCCCAAATCCCAACTCACCTCTTCCCAAGGAAATTCCCAATCCCAACTCACCCCTTCCCAAGGGAATTCCAGACCCCATTCACCCCTTCCCAAGGGAATTCCAGACCCCAACTCACCCCTTCCCAAGGGAATTCCAGACACCCTTCACCCCTTCCCAAGGGAATTCCAGACCCCATTCACCCCTTCCCAAGGGAATTCCAGACCCCATTCACTCACCCCTTCCCACAGGAGCCCCCCCGGCCGGCTGGAATCCCGCCTGGCACGCGCAGACCCTGTCCGAGGTTTTCTCGCACGGCTTCACCTCCACGCTGCCCTTCCCTGGCCAGGGCAGAAATTCATTAATTCCTTCATTAACAGCAACAATTAACTCCTCGGGGGGTTTGGGTTTTTGTGTGTAGGAGCTGCAGAATTCGGCAATTTAACAATTAGTTCACGATTCGTAATCAATCATTAATTTAACAACTGAATCGTTCAATGATTTTGTTTGAGGACAGTGATTTTCAGGTAGGGCCTCACAACCGAGGTGGGATCAGCCAGAAAAAGACCCAAAATGAGATTTTATTCCCTCCTAAATTCCCTCAAAAAGGGATTTTTCTCTCAAAATGGGATTTTCTCCCCCAAAATAGGGAATTTTCCCCTCTCAAAAAAGGGAGTTTTTATCCCAAAATGGGACTTTCCCCCCAAAAAGGGATTGCTCCCCTCAAAAGGGATTTTTGCCCTCCAGAGAGAGATTTTTTCCCTCAAAAATGCCCCAGGAAAGGGTTTTTCCCCCCAAAAAATGATTTTCCCCTCCAAAAAGGGATTTTATTTTCATCAAAATGGGATTTTTCCCTTCAAAAGGGATTCTATCCCCAAAAAGGGATTTTCTCCCCCTACCTCCAAAACGCCCCAAACCTGTGAAATTTTTTCTGCAAAAAGGCTTTTTTTTCCCCTCAAAAATGGGATTCCCCCCCCACCCCCAAAAAGGGATTTTTTTTCCCCTAAAATGAGATTTTTTTTTCCCCCAAATGCCAGCACTCACGGGTGTTGCAGATGGTGCAGCTGTGGCAGAAGCCGTGGTGGTGCCTGGAGCTGAAATATCCATCCTGGCACGGCGAGCACACGGTGTCGGCCGAGGCCGTGCAGCGGCTCCGCATCCTCTCCCCTAAAAACACCCAAAAATCGACATTCAGTGGGATCCTGAGGGTAAAAATCCTGAATTTCATCCTTTGGGAACAGTCTGTCACTGGCCTGGGGAGCGCACAGTGTTGGCTGACTACACATCCTCTCCCCTAAAAAACTCCCCAAAAATTGGGATTCAGTGGGGTCCTGAGGGGAAAAAAATCCTAATTTTTAACCTTGGGAATAAATTGGGACTGGCTGGGATCGTGAGGGGAAAAATCCTAAATTTCCCCCTTTGGGATCAAATGGTGCCCAGAATTTTTTTTTCTTAAGAAAAATCCCTGGAAGTTTGGCCAGGAGGAAAAATCAACATTTAATGGAGCGGCTGAAAAGGGCTGGGGAGGGCTGAAATTGGAGGAAAATGCCCCAAATTTTTGTCCCAGTGGATCCCAAATATCCCTTCCAGAGTAAGGTAAAAACGTTTAGGAAATGCCCCTGGACTGAGCCATTTAGGAAGCAAAAAAACATCCAAAAAAAGTTAAAAACCACTCTCAAAAAGGATGATTTTTCCATTTTTTTGGGTCTAAAACTTATTTTTATCAGTCTAGAAAGTATTACACTAAAAATAGGTATTACACTAAGAAAAAATTCGATATACCCCTAAAGCCCGGCTCTCCCACCCCAGCCCCCGCGGCGGGCACTCACCGGGGGCGCAGTCGCTGCAGCATTTGTCACGGAAACTGTATTGGTGCTCCTGGCATTCCAAGCCCAGGGAACCGGGAATGGGCACGGCCAGGAGCCAGCAGAGAGCGGGAAAATTCCAGGGAATCCTTGGAAGCGCCATTCCTCCTCAGGGAGCCGCTCCCTCAGGGCACCGTCCGTCCCCTCACGGCACCTTTCCCCTCACGGCGCCTCCTCCCTCAGGGCGCTTTTTCCCTCACGGAGCCGTTCCCCTCACGGCTCTTCTTCCCTCACAGAGCCGTTCCCCTCACAGTGCCTTTCCCCTCACGGAGCCGTTCCCCTCACGGCTCTTCTTCCCTCACAGAGCCGTTCCCCTCACAGAGCCTTTCCCCTCACGGCGCCTTCTCCCTCAGGGCTTTTTCCCTCACAGAGCCGTTCCCCTCACGGCGCTTTTTCCCTCACGGAGCCGTTCCCCTCACGGCGCTTCTTCCCTCACAGAGCCGTTCCCCTCACGGCACCTTTCCCCTCACGGTGCTTCTTCCCTCACGACGCCTTTTCCCTCACAGAGCCGTTCCCCTCACGGTGCTTCTTCCCTCACGGAGCCGTTCCTCTCACGGCACCTTTCCCCTCATGGAGCCGTTCCCCTCATGGAGCCGTTCCCCTCACGGCTCCGTTCCCCTCAGGGCGCTGTGAGGGCCCCGAGAGCGGGAACGGCTCCGGGCGGGGACATTTGCGGGAAATTCCCGCTTTTCTCCACGCCCCTTCCCGCTCCCGGTTTGGGGTTTTTCAGCAGGAAAAGGAAATGCTGAGCTTGAGAAGGGTTTAAGGGGTAAAAGGAGCCCTCAAGCGAGGGAAATCCCGGTGGGAATGGCTGGAAAAGCAGGTATGGAGGAGCGCTGTGGGAATGTCCTGGCTGAGGTGGGGAAATAGCGGGAATTCCGTTTTCCAGACTGCTGGAGTTCCAGCCAGGAGCTCAGTTAAGTTCTAGGAGAGCTCCCTGGCATCACTGAATCCACAAAATAGTGGGAATTAAGGAATTTCATTTTTCAGCCTATTAGAATGGGATCCAGGCTCTCAATTTTAGGTGTTCCAGCTGCCTGGAATTGCAGCTTTACCTTCACCGACTCCAGAAAATACTGGGAATCGGAGATTAGAATGCTCGTGTTGTCCCAAAATTAAACTGGGATGGTGTTGGCAAAATCTCTTCATAGATAAATTACAATTATCAGCTGATTTTACTGGAATTTTTGTGTTTAAACTCATTTTATCGGAGATTATCCATGGAATTTATTCCTCTTATCCCCTCCAGCCCTGACAAACCTTAAAAGCAGCAGAATTTCCAAAGCATGGAGAGAAATATTTAATGGAAAACAAACAAAAAAAAATGGATATAAAACCTTTTATCCAAGGAATTTAATAAAAACATCAAATAAAGAGCAGGAAAAGGGAAAGAGGGACAGCAGTTCCTGTATTTACATTATATTAAGAATAAATTTAATCAAATAAAACATCTCAGATTTTCAGGAATTCTTTCCCAAAGAGGGGTTTTTCCCAGGAAAGATGTAAGCAGAGGGAAAAATCAATTTTATTTGGGAAAGAGCTCATCCAAAGCCTGGAATTTCCCCCAAATCATCATCAGCAGCTCATTAACAGAATTAATTAACACAGAGCTCATTAATTTTAGCAGTGAATATTAATTAAGCAGCCATCAAACTCCATGGGAATTCCCACTGCTCTGTCCAATAGCTTAAAATTCCCAAAAAAACTTCCCAATTTTTTGTTTTTTGACCGAAATCTGATATTTTTAAAACCATGATCTCCCACTCCCAGTGCAGATGTCAACAAAACAATGTCATTTTATATTAATTTAATCTTAATTAATGTTATTTGATTTTTTAAAAATTTAATTCCAAAAAGTTTTTCTGTAACATTTCAAATAAATTCTTTCCCACAGCTCCCGGAAAAAATTCCATTAAATTCCCAACAACTCTTCAGGAAGTTGAGAAAAACACTGGAATTGAGTGTGGATATTCCCAGGAGGACAAACATTCCTTGGGACTACCAAAATTCCCAAAATCAAACCTTTATTTGGGATTCCCTGGATCAGCAGCTGAGGGAAACAAATATTTAAGGAGCGTCCCAAATGGAATTGGGTGTGGAGGACAAACATTCCTTGGAATCACCATTCCCATCCCAAAATCCAAGTTTTATTTGGGATCCCCTGGATCAACAGCTGTGAGGGCAGTTCCCAGGAGACCAAACATTCCTTGGAACCACCAAAATTCCCAAAATCCAACCATTATTTGGGATCCCCTGGATCAACAGCTGTGAGGGCAACAAGGGAATAAATTTAAGGAATTTCCCCAATGGAATTGGGTGTGGAGGACAAACATTCCTTGGAATCACCGTTCCCTTCCCAAAATCCAACCTTTATTTGGGATCCCCTGGATCAACAGCTGAAGGAAACCAGGGAATATTCCAGGATCCTCCCCACCCAGAATTCCAGCTGGCTTCAACCCCCCCAAACCAAGGAGGAAAACTACCTGAATCCAGGAATTCCCACCATTTTTTCCCAGCAGGAAAAACCCCTCCAAGGAGCCCGCAGGGACGGACGGAAAATCGAGAATCCGCGACGACCGATTCCCGCCGCTCCTTCTTCTGAATCCTTCTTCCCTGGGATATTTTTTTTTGGGGGGAGGTTGGGAGGAGAACAGAAAATTCTGGAAAAGGGGGAGGAAGCTCAGAATTCCTCGTGGACGTTGCGGGCGTAATCCATGAGTTTGCTGCCGGTGAAGTACTCGCTGTACTTGAGGATCTCCTCCAGCTCCAGGTGGTGGTTCTGGTTCTCGTCGGCCACGGCGATCATCTGCCGCGCCTCGTTCAGCGCGTTGTGCTCGTTCATGGGATCCATGTATTCCTGGGAAAAACATGGAAAAAGCACCTGAGACCAGCCCTGGCTCTGCTCCCAAAAAATCCCACCTCAGCCCCAAGTGGGGTGAAGGTCTTTAAGAAGGGTTCAATGGTGGTTTTTTCTTGGTTTTTAGGCTGTTCCCAAAGAAATCTGGGATTTTTTTGGGTCATTCTGTGAAATATTTGTGGAATTTGGGCTGCGAATTAAACTCGGGATCGAATTCCAGTTAAAAATCAACGATTATCAATTTGCAGAATGTAAATTCTATTATTTTTCCTGGTTTCTAGGCTGCTCCCAAAGAAATCTGGAATTTTGGGGCTCATTCCGAGGAATATTTCTGGAATTTGGGCTGCAAATTAAAGTCAGGATTGAATTCCAGTTAAAAATTTATTTGCAGGACCTAAATTTTCTCGTATTTCCTGCTTTGGCTGTTCCCACAGAAATCCCCATTTTTTTTCAGCTCACTCCAAGAAATATTTCTGGAATTCGGGCTGCAGATTAAACTCAGGATCAAACTCCAATTAAAAATTCATTTTCAGAACAGAAATTCTCTCATTTTTCCTGCTTCTTTGGCCGCTCCCACAGAAATCCAGGATTTTTTCGGCTCATTCCAAGGAGCATTTGTGGAATTTGGGCTGCAAATTGAACTCGGGATCAAATTCCAGTTAAAAATGAAGGATTATCAATTTTCAGAACAGAAATTCACTCATTTTTCTTGCTCTCTTGCCCGTTGCCACAGACTATTTTAAAATAAAAATAACACGAAATTAACACGAAATTAAAATCCAATTAACACGAAATTAAAATCAAATCAAAATATCCATTTTTTAAATTAAAAAAACGATCTGAAAGTGAATTTGTGAGGTTTTCAAAGCCGTGTTTCGGAATAATTGGCTGGAAAAGGACGAGGATTCACCTCCAGCTCCTCCATGGTGACGATGCCGTCGCGGTTGGCGTCGATGACCTCCTGGAATTCCTTCCTCCTGTCCCTCACCCAGTCGTCGTCGATGTCCTGGGCCTGCTGGTTCTCCACCGTGCCCACGGGCAGGGAGATGAACTCTGACAGGGTCAGCTTCTTATCCCCGTCCTGATCTGGGAAAAACACACGGGTTGTAACAGGTTCACTTCATTCCCCTTAAAAAAACCACTAAAATTTATCATGTATTCGTTGAAATCCCATAAAAATGGGAATTTCTTACTGATCTGTGAAAAAAACCAAACCCATCCCAATACCCACATAAAAATGGGAATGCATGGGACTCCCCCAGACTATTCAATGCAAACCCTTCCCGAAATCCACATAAAAATGGGAATGCATGGGACTCCCCCAGACTATTCAATGCAAACCCTTCCCGAAATCCACATAAAAATGGGAATGCAGGGGACCCCCCCAGACTACACCATGCAAAACCCTCCCGAAATCCACATAAAAACCAGGAATCCATGGATACAATTCCCAGGAAATCCCAGATCGCGGACGATCTCCTGCACCATGAAGTGCAGCACGCCCCAAATATCCAAATAAAAATGGAATCCACGGAACCCCACCAGACTGCTCCCTCCCAAAATCCGCATAAAAATGGAATCCATGGAACTCCACCAGCCTGCTCCCTCCCAAAATCCGCATAAAAATGGAATCCATGGAACTCCACCAGCCTGCTCCCTCCCAAAATCCACATAAAAATGGAATCCACGGAACTCCACCAGACTGCTTCCTCCCAAAATCCACATAAAAATGGGAATGCATGGACAGAATTCCCGGGAATCCCAGCTTACCTAGATGGCGGACGATCTCCTGCACCATGAAGTGCAGCACGCCCCAAATATCCAAATAAAAATGGGAATCCATGGATACAGTGGGCATCCATGGAACTCCACCTGACTATTCCATGTAGAACCCTCCCAAAATCCACAGAATCCAGAATCCATGGAGAAAATTCCTGGGAAATCCCAGCTTACCTAGATGGCGGACGATCTCCTGCACCATGAAGTGCAGCACGCCCCAAATACCCACATAAAAATGGGATCCATGGAAGTCCACCAGACTGCTCCCTCCCAAAATCCACATAAAAATGGGAATGCATGGGACTCCACCTGACTATTCCATGCAAAACCCTCCCGAAATCCACCTAAAAATGGAATGCATGGACAGAATTCCCGGGCATCCCAGCTTACCCAGATCGCGGACGATCTCCTGCACCATGAAGTGCAGCATGCCGCGGCTGTGCTCGGGGTGCAGGAAGGACAGGAACTCCTGCTCGCTCAGCAGCAGGTCCGGGGGGGGATTGTCCGCCTGGTACCAGCGATCCTTCAGGTTGTCCAGCACTTCCTGCGCTGCAACGGCACCCGCAGGGCTGGGACTGCATCCCAAAGGCTGCAGCTGCAGGGCTGGGACTGCATCCCAAAGGCTGCAGCTGCAGGGCTGGGATTGCAGCTCATCCCAAAGGCTGCAACTGCAGGGCTGGGACTGCATCCCACTCATCCCAAAGGCTGCACCCACACATTTGGGATTGCAGCTCATCCCAAACCCTGCACTCACACATTTGGGATTGCAGCTCATCCCAAACCCTGCACTCACACATTTGGGATTGCAGCTCATCCCAAAGGCTGCCACTGCCCCCATCCATTTGTAGGATTTGGCACAATCACATTTTCAAATTTCCATTGGAACAACCAATTTTTTAGGATTTCAGTTGCCCTAATCCATTTTTTAGGATTTCAGTTGTCCCAATCCACTTTCAGGATTTCAATTGTCACAGTAAAAAAAAAAACCCAAAAATCACTTTTACAGTGCTTGGAGGAGAAGAAAAACCCCCTGAGGAAGTGGAGGATGAATAATTTGATTTTCCTACAGAAGATTTTGGGGCTCAGGTGCAGACTTGAGGTGCTGACTCAGCAGCTCTGGGGTTCCTGGAATCAGCCCCAGGTGATTTCCCTGCACACTCTCAGCTCCTTTTTTCTGCATTTCAGGCGTTTTTTCAGCACTGGAAAATGTCACCGAAGCAATTTGGAAATGATTTCAGTTGCCCTAATCCATTTTTTAGGATTTCAGTTGTCCCAATCCACTTTCAGGACTCCAATTGTCACAGTAAAAAAAACCCAAAAATCACTTTTACAGTGCTTGGAGGAGAAGAAAAACCCCCTGAGGAAGTGGAGGATGAACAATTTGATTTTCCTACAGAAGATTTTGGGGCTCAGGTGCAGACTCGAGGTGCTGACTCAGCAGCTCTGGGGTTCCTGGAATCAGCCCCAGGTGATTTCCCTGCACACTCTCAGCTCCTTTTTTCTGCATTTCAGGCGTTTTTTCAGCACTGGAAAATGTCACCGAAGCAATTTGGAAATGACTCATCCCTGCGGGGAAAGGGAAAGGTGCAGGGGGGATTTTACAGGAAACTCAAATGTTGTTTGAAGGGGAAAAAAAAAGGAAAATTCCTCTTAAAAAATCCAATTTTCATGGCAGATTGCGGTCAGGAACAATGTGGGGTTTGTGTCCTTTGACTTCAATTTTTTGGGGGGAGTTTTGAATAAATTCAAGTTTATTTCAGGGGGAATGCCATTAAAAGTTGCAATTTTCATGGCAGATTTCCCTTAAAAATTGCAATTTTCCTGGCAGATTTCCCTTAAAAATTGCAATTTTCCTGGCAGATTTCCCTTAAAAATTGCAATTTTCATGGCAGATTTTCCTTAAAAATTGCAATTTTCCTGGCAGATTTCCCTTAAAAACTGCAATTTTCCTGGCAGATTGCCCTTAAAAATTGCAATTTTCACGGCAGATTCTGGGCAGGAACAATGTGGGATTTGTGTCTTCTGACTTCAGTTTTGGGGGGATTTTAGAGGAAATCTGAATTTTTTGTTTTTGAAGGAGATTCCTCCTAAAAATTGCAATTTTCATGGCAGATTCTGGTCGCAACGAAGGAAGGATTTGTGTCTTTTGACTTCATTTTTGGGGCTTATTTTAGAATCAATTTAAATATTTCTTTAAGGGAAAACAGGAAGATTCCTCTAAAAAATGTCATTTTCACACCAAATTTTATGTGGAAAAAAAGCAGTTTTTTAATTTTTATTAAGGGGGAAAACAGGAAGATTCCTCCAAAAAAAAAACTCATTTTCTCAGCACATTTTACACTAAAAACTGCAGAATTTTTGGGTTATTATTTCACTCCTCCTCTGTTGAGCAGAACCCAAACATTTCCCTCCCATTTCCATTCTCACCCTCAGGTTTTCAGCCCCAAAACCCCACTCTGCACTTACTTTCTTCATCTATTTTCAATTCCTCGTTGTTTTTGATTTTCTCTGCAATTTCCTTCTCATTGAAGCCTTTGCTTGCCAAGAATTTGATTTTATATTCGTCCCAAGAAACGTGACCTGGAATTGAGAACATTTCAACCTGAAATGATGAATTTTGGATTGAATTCTTTCAAAATCAACAAATTTTCAAGTTTTTTTAGTCCAGCATCACAACCCCACGCTGAATTTTAGGAATGACAACATAAAAGCTGTCACCTGATTCATTTTTGGGGTTTTTTTAGCCATAAAATTTTGTCCAAAATTCGATTTATTCTTTTTTTTTTAAATTCTTTCTGAAACAAAGAACTGCCTGCAGCACATCCTTTCCCACAAAAATCCAAATTTGGGATTCCCAACCTAAATTTGATCCCAAAAATAAATTCTAGATCCCAGAACTGACTTAAAAAGTGATTTTTTTGGAGGGAAAAAAAGGTGATTTTACCATCCCCATCAGGATCCACAGCTCTGAAATGCATTTTGTTCTCCTCCACGGCCTCCTGGAAATGCTCATCTGTTTTTTCCATGATCCAACGTTGCATTTCCTTGGCACTGATTTTTTTATCATTATTTATATCCACCCTAGGGAGGAAAAAGAAACAGGATTTCAATTTGGAGTTCAGCAGGGAAAGATCTGGTTGGTTTTTGGTTTATAAATTGTTTTATTCAGCAGGAATTCACAGGAAAATGAATATTTTTGACTCTCTGTGAGAAACAAGTGGCAGATCAGCCTTTAGTTCAGAATTAAAGTAAATAATTTAATTAATTTAATTTAATTTAGCAAGATTTAGGTCATTACTCAGTGAATTTTTTCCTGGAATTAAAAGGTGTTTTTGAGGGAATTTTTTCCCACTAATCATTCCTGAGGGAATTTTGGGTCATTCCAAATTCAGAATTGGAAGAATTTTCTTCCAGACCCTGAATTCTCTCTCAATTTCTCTTTCCAAGCCCTTTTTTTTTTCAAATTTAATTGAATTTTTATTTTTTTACACATTTCAACACTGCACATCCATTTGTTCTCCATGAGTTTTCTGGAATTCCTTGGATTCAGAGCTGCAGAATTCCATTTTTCCTGATTAAAATGATCAGGAAAATCCAATCTCATCAATTCTCAAAATTAATTTAAAAATTACAGTTCAAAACCCAAAATAAATCCATATTTCTGCCACTTTGAAAGGTGGTTTTTTTTTTGAGCATGAAATAAATATTTCAAATATCACTAAAAAAAAATCAGATTTTATTTTGCTACCCTTTTAAATTCTATTTAAAGCACCCCCAACCCACTCTCTGTAATTCAAAATGTCACTCAAAATCAGATTTTATTTTGTTACCCTTTCAAATTCTATTTAAAGCACCTCAAAACCACTTTTTTTCAAAAGTCAAAGAAAAACCACTGTGACTCTGGCCTTTATCTGCTGGCATCACTGAGTTGTTTTGATTGAAACTTCAATTATTCAAGATGTGATCTGCCTTGAAATGTCAACTAAATGTGAAAGAGATAAACAACCCCAAAAAATGCAGATTTGGGGAGTTTCAAGATCACAGCTTCCACCAGGGAGATGCTTTTATCATTTATTTAATATTTATTTAATAATTGCTTTAATGAATTTTATTTATTCAAGGCAAAGTTGGCGCCAATAAAACTTTGAAAGTTTATCCCCCTTGTGGTATTAATTGGAGGTGTTTTCATTAAAAAATGCAAATAAAGCCAATTCTGCCACCTGCTGTCTGAAAGTGCTGAAACAAAACCCAAAAAAATGGGAATTTTATTCAAGAAAATGCTTGAATGTCTTAAAATAAAACTTCATCTTTTTCCACCCAGTAAAGAAATTAATTAACTTTTTAAAAAAGCCATTAATGGAAAATATTATCTTGCTATTTTCTAAAATTTCCAGTTTTGAAGTATTAAAACTCCCAATTTTTAAACAGGAATTAAAACTCCTGATTTTGACAGCATTAATTCGAATTCCCAGTTTTGAAATATTTAAAACTCCAAATATTTAAAACTCCAAATTTTGATTGATATGCTGAACATATCAATCAAAATCCCCAATTTAAAAAAAAATTCATTCCACTTTCCAATTTGGAACTATTAAAATCCCCAATTTCAATTCCAGATTTTTAAACATTAATTCAAATTTTCAATTTTGTTAGAATTTCCAACTTCAAACCCACCAAAACTCCCAATTTTTTGTTTTTTTTTTTTTTTTTTTCCTGTTCTTTTTCTGACTTGTGGCATTCAAATTCTCTGAAAAAATCCCTTCACCCAGGATTTTCCTCCTGGGGAGCTGAGAGGCCTCAGGGAAAAGGAAAACAATTCTTGTCTCATTTGCTTTTTCTGGGTTGTGCTTGTCTGGAAGGTGTTTGCAGATTGTTTCACTGGGCTCTGCTGGCAGTTGTTTCCACTCTTTGGCCAATTCAGGCCAAGCTGTGTTTGTCATTTTTATTTATTTTACATTTATTTCTATTGATTTTCATTTATTTATCTATAATTTATCTTTATATTTTATATTTTTTTCTATTTTTCTTTTATATTTTAGAATCTTTTTAGCATTCAGTAACTATCCTGGAATGGAATGGCTCTGGGTGACCCCCAGGGCAGCTCTGACTTTGCCCCTCATTCATGGAGAAAGTTTCCTAAACTTCAAGACAGACCAGAATCCACAAAAGTGTGAAATGGATTACAGAGAGTGGTGGAGGTGGGAAATTTAGGGTTTGGGATTTCTAGTGTGTTGGGGTGGAGGACACAGGGTTTCTTCTTCCTTCTTCTTCTTGGGTTTGGGTGGCATTTTATAATTGGGCAGAAAAATCCACATTGCAGCTTGCAGGGATCAGTCACTGGGTTAGAGGGGAAACAATCCAGTGTCAGCTCTCAACTGGAGAGCCCAGCCTTCAAAGGCCTGGCAGCAAGAGCCTTGTGATGAAAGGCACAGAACTCACAGCTCTGAGACTGTTCCTGATAAAAAATAATTAACACCTGAGCCCAAAATGAACCACACCTCAACACCTTCAATCCACACCCAGCCAAACCAACAACTGGCACTGAGACTGATCCTGATAAAAAATAATAAACACCTGAGCCCAAAATGAACCACACCTCAACACCTTCAATCCACACCCAGCCAAACCAACAACTGACACTGAGACTGTTCCTGATAAAAAATAATAAACACCTGAGCCCAAAATGAACCAGCACCTCAACACCTTCAATGCACACCCAGCCAAACCAACAACTGACACTGAGACTGTTCCTGATAAAAAATAATAAACACCTGAGCCCAAAATGAACCAGCACCTCAACACCTTCAATCCACACCCAGGAAATCCAACAACTGACAGTGAGACTGTTCCTGATAAAAAATAAAAAACCCCTGTCCCAAAATGAACCACACCTCAACACCTTCAATCCACACCCAGGAAATCCAACAACTGACAGTGAGACTGTTCCTGATAAAAAATAAAAAACCCCTGTCCCAAAATGAACCACACCTCAACACCTTCAATCCACACCCAGGAAATCCAACAACTGACAGTGAGACTGTTCCTGATAAAAAATAAAAAACCCCTGTCCCAAAATGAACCACACCTCAACACCTTCAATCCACACCCAGGAAATCCAACAACTGACAGTGAGACTGTTCCTGATAAAAAATAAAAAACCCCTGTCCCAAAATGAACCACACCTCAACACCTTCAATCCACACCCAGGAAATCCAACAACTGACAGTGAGACTGTTCCTGATAAAAAATAAAAAACCCCTGTCCCAAAATGAACCACACCTCAACACCTTCAATCCACACCCAGGAAATCCAACAACTGACAGTGAGACTGTTCCTGATAAAAAATAAAAAACCCCTGTCCCAAAATGAACCACACCTCAACACCTTCAATCCACACCCAGGAAATCCAACAACTGACAGTGAGACTGTTCCTGATAAAAAATAAAAAACCCCTGTCCCAAAATGAACCACACCTCAACACCTTCAATCCACACCCAGGAAATCCAACAACTGACAGTGAGACTGTTCCTGATAAAAAATAAAAAACCCCTGTCCCAAAATGAACCACACCTCAACACCTTCAATCCACACCCAGGAAATCCAACAACTGACAGTGAGACTGTTCCTGATAAAAAATAAAAAACCCCTGTCCCAAAATGAACCACACCTCAACACCTTCAATCCACACCCAGGAAATCCAACAACTGACAGTGAGACTGTTCCTGATAAAAAATAAAAAACCCCTGTCCCAAAATGAACCACACCTCAACACCTTCAATCCACACCCAGGAAATCCAACAACTGACAGTGAGACTGTTCCTGATAAAAAATAAAAAACCCCTGTCCCAAAATGAACCACACCTCAACACCTTCAATCCACACCCAGGAAATCCAACAACTGACAGTGAGACTGTTCCTGATAAAAAATAAAAAACCCCTGTCCCAAAATGAACCACACCTCAACACCTTCAATCCACACCCAGGAAATCCAACAACTGACAGTGAGACTGTTCCTGATAAAAAATAAAAAACCCCTGTCCCAAAATGAACCACACCTCAACACCTTCAATCCACACCCAGGAAATCCAACAACTGACAGTGAGACTGTTCCTGATAAAAAATAAAAAACCCCTGTCCCAAAATGAACCACACCTCAACACCTTCAATCCACACCCAGGAAATCCAACAACTGACAGTGAGACTGTTCCTGATAAAAAATAAAAAACCCCTGTCCCAAAATGAACCACACCTCAACACCTTCAATCCACACCCAGCCAAACCAAGAACTGACACCCCCAGCACCCACTTGGCGAAGATGCCCACGAGCTTCCTCCTGTTCCTGCGGGGCTGCGAGTCCTCCTCGAAGTCCTCGCGCTCCTTGCCCAGGAACACCTCCTGGTGGAACTCCTTGTTCAGGTGCCCGTCCAGCTCCATCTTGACGCCGTTCAGGTGGTCGGGGGGCAGGATCTCGTTCTCCTCCCTGCCCTCCCCTGCCCTGTCCTTCAGCACGGAGTGGTTGGCAGGCCTGGCGTAAACGTCCATCAGGAGGAAGATGAGCAGGAGGGAGAGGTACAGAGAGCCCAAGCTGCACAGGAAAGCTTGTCTTGACATCATTTTGGGCCTTTTTGGGTTTTTTTTTTCCCTTTTTTATTATTTATCTGCTGTTGAAATCACTGTGGGAGCTAAAAGGAAAAAAGATAAAAAACCAATTAAACTCTGAGGCAAAAGGTCACAGTGGGTTAAAGGATCTAAAAGGAAAAAAAAAAATTCAACTTGGAAGCAAAAGGTCACTGTAGGCTAAAGGATCCAAAAGGAGAAAAGGAGAAAAACCAAGTTAAACTCTGAAGCAAGAGGTCATTAATGAACATATAAAAACTAAAATAATCTATAAAGTATTCATAACTTACTTATTTACACATATGTGCTTATTAACTTATTTATATATACATAAAAGATATAAATAAGTTAATAAGCACATTATATATGCTTATTAACTTATTTATATACACATAAATAGATGTATATAAGTTATTTATATACATATAAATATAGGTACACAACTTATTTATATACATATATATATACATGTTTATATGTATGCTTTAGTACATATATGTGTATATATATATACATACACACAAGTGTGCACATATACAAGAATAAATTAAGAGAAACCTACACAAAAACAGAGGAATTTTTGATGCCAGACATTAAAAAAGCCTATTAAATAATAAATATATGGAATTAATAGGGGCAGATCCAAGAGAAAGAGGAGCTGGAAACACCCAGGGAACAGCGGCGGGGAGGAGCTGTCACAGAGCCACAAAATCCGAGTGACCCACAGGGGCCATCCCACCCCATTCCAGGGAGAAAAATAATCCCAAATCCTGTCACAGAGCCACAAAATCCGAGTGACCCACAGGGGCCATCCCACCCAATTCCAGGGAGAAAAATAATCCCAAATCCTGTCACAGAGCCGCAAAATCTGAGTGTCCTGCCTGGAAGTGACCCACAGGGGCCATCCCGCCCCATTCCAGGGAGAAAAATAATCCCAAATCTATCAGAGAGAGCGCCAAGGAACCCAATCCCCTCAGAGCCCCCAGAATCCCTCAGAGCCCTCAAACCCCCCCAAACCCCTCAGAACCCTCAAAATCCCCCAAACCCCTCGGAGCACTCAGGGCCCTCAGGACCCCTCAGAGCACTCAGAACCCTCAAAATCCCCCAAACCCCTCGGAGCACTCAGGGCCCTCAGGACCCCTCGGAGCCCTCCACGATCCCCGCGGCGCTGCGGGAGGCGCCGCCCGCACTCACCGGGAGCCGCCCGGGCAGGGAGCGGACACTGCCCCGAGCGCCGTGACGGCCGCGGGGAGGCTCAGCCCGGGCCCGGCCGCCGCTGAGAGCCCCTCACGGCCCTCACGGAGCCCGGCGCTGCCAGGGCGGAGGGAAGCGGGGAGGAGGCGGATGTTTTGTCACTGCGCCGCGCCGCGGGAAGGCGCGGCGGCCATCTTAGGTGAGGGCAGCCGCCATTTCCGGCAGAGAGCGGCAAAGGGGCGTTTTCCTGGCGGTCCCGTCGTTATCTCCGTGGTTAAAATGTTGATGTCCTACTTCCTGGCTGTGTGCGTGTGTGGCTGTTTTAGATCGGAAGAGCACACGTCTTTATCTCCGTGGTTAAAATGTTGATGTCCTACTTCCTGGCTGTGTGCGTGTGTGGCTGTTTTCATTGAATTATGGAATGGTTTGGGTTGGAAAGGGCCTTAGATAGCATCTAATGCCAATCCCTCGCCCGAGGCCAGGTTGGACATTGAGGCTTGGAGCAGCCTGGGATAGTGGAATGTGTCCCTGCCCATGGCGGGGGGTGGCTCTGGATGGGCTTTGAGCCCATCCCAACCTTTTACTATTCCATGATTCCATGAACAAGGCACGGCCAAGGCGCAGAGCCCAAACCCAAGATGGCTCCTCTTCGGATTCACGTGCCCTACTCAAAGATGGCAGCCGCCGCGTCAGGCTCTGCGGCCTCGGCCCCTCCTCCCACCCCTTCCCCCGGTGCGAGAACCGCCGGAGCCGCGGCAGGAGCACGGACGGAACCGCCGCTTCCCCGCGGAGAAGGCGGAAAGCGAGGGCAGAGCCATGAAACCACCGCAGCGCGGCAGCGGCGCGCGGTGAGCGCTCCCCTAGAAAGCTTGTCCCCTCCTGGTGGCCGTACCGCCGTTCCCGCCTAAACGCGGCGGGCGTGGCGGCGGCGCCGGCCGTGAGGGGCCCCGCGGCCATGAAGGCGCTGCGGCGGCTGAGCCGGCACCGCACCGCGCTGGGGCTCGGCGGGCTCTCGCTCTGCGCCGCCGTCCTGCTCTACCTCGCCAAGTGCACCTCCGAGGGGCTGCGCCCGCTGCCCGCGCCCCCCGCGCTCCCGCACGGCCAGCCCGGCCGGGGGGCCCGTGCCGCGCCCCCGGCCGGCCCTGAGGGCAGCGCCTTCGTGGCCGTGGTGGTGATGAGCGGCCCCAAGTACAGCGAGCGGCGCAGCATCATCCGCAGCACCTGGATGGCGGCGGCGCGGCAGGCGCCTCGCGGCCACGTCTGGAGCCGCTTCGTGGTGGGCACGGCGGGGCTGAGCGCCGAGGAGCTGCGGAGCCTGGAGCTGGAGCAGAGCCGCCACCGCGACCTGCTGCTGCTGCCGGAGCTGCGCGACTCCTACGAGAACCTCACGGCCAAGGTGCTGGCGACCTACGTGTGGCTGGATGCGCACCTGGACTTCCAGTTCGCCCTCAAGGCGGACGACGACACCTTCGTGCGCTTGGACGTGCTGGTGGAGGAGCTGAGGGCCAAGGAGCCGCGGCGCCTCTACTGGGGCTTCTTCTCGGGCCGCGGGCGGGTGAAATCCGGCGGGAAGTGGAAGGAGAGCGCCTGGCTGCTGTGTGATTATTACCTGCCCTACGCGCTGGGAGGCGGCTACGTGATCTCCGCCGACCTGGTGCGCTACCTGCGCCTCAGCAGGGACTACCTGAACCTGTGGCAGAGCGAGGACGTGTCCCTGGGCGTGTGGCTGGCGCCCGTCGACGTGAAGAGAGTGCACGACCCCCGCTTCGACACCGAGTACAAATCGCGCGGCTGCAGCAACAAATACATCGTGACTCACAAGCAGAGCATCGAGGACATGCTGGAGAAGCACCAGACGCTGGCCAAGGAAGGGAAGCTCTGTAAGGAGGAGGTGAAACTCAGGCTTTCCTACATGTACGACTGGGGAGTGCCTCCCTCGCAGTGCTGCCAGAGGAAGGATGGCATCCCCTGAAAGCCTCGGGAGGAAGACTCGGGATGGTGGACTCTGCTTGCTCCTTGCGGGGAGGATCCCATTCAAATGGAATTCTTGCCTCGGTTTCTCCCTCAGAACATTGGGCCAAGAGGCTTTGGAGGAAGCCTCGGGATGGTGGACTCTGCTCGCTGTTACGCGGGGAGGATCCCATTCAAATGGAATTCTTGCCTCGGTTTCTCCCTCAGAACATTGGGCCAAGAGGCTTTGGGATGCAGGCATGGCTGGATTTAGGGAAAAGCAGAATCCTGCAATCTCTGACTCCGTATCCAAGGACGGACTTCCCAAATCCCAGCCTGGAGCTGTGGATCCATAATTCCAGCAGAACTGAGTGGGAAGAGCTGATAAAATGGAATTCTTGCCTCAGTTTCTCCCTCAGAACACTGGGAACAAATTGTTCCCCTCGGGCACTGATCCCAAAGGCCTTGGGGTGCAGGCCTGCCTGGATTTAGGGAAGAGCAGTTAATTGGAGTCAGGGGTTAATTACTCCTAAAAAGATTTTGCACGACTCGTTCTGTCACCCTGAGCTGCTGACGTGGCATGGTTAGAGATGCTTAAAAATTCAAATAAAACAGGTGCCAGCAGGCACAGCCAGAGGTCAAATGCCAGCACTGAAGGCAAATAAAAGGTGTCAAAACACAAAAAGTAGAGAAATCCGGGGGGAGAGAACTGGAATGAAAAGTTAGAACAAATTCTGAGGTTGATTTGCTAAAGGTCATGCTAAGTTTTGATGCTGATGAAACTAAAATGAGGCTGCTGCTTATTGCTTGGCAAGGAAATGCCAGCTTGGCACGGAGGGAAGAGCCCAAATTGGGACCAGATCATTCCAGAGGGTAGGAAAAGGGATCAGCTTTTCCTGGGAGGGCATTCTGGCAGAGAATGCAATCATTAAATCTGTTCATTTGTCTTTTTTTTTGCTCTCTGAAAGGCAATGTACATAAATCACCTGGCAGCTCCAAAGGGAGGTGGCTGAGTTCTGGCAGAAATTCAATTTATTCTGATTTTGGGAGAAGATTTTTTGGCTTTGCAAAGCCTCCAGGTGTTGTTTTGAGCTCGTTTCCCTCCAACACTCCCTCAAGAACTCCCTGGCTGCACCAAGCCTTCAAATCTAGATTTATTTTTTAATACAAACGAGCAAGAATTGATCAGTGGGAGTCCAAAAACCATTTGCCCAGAGGTGGGGATTTAAGGTATAAAAGTGAAATTTGTGTGGTCAACAGGAAAAGGTTCCCCCCACCCTAAAAATTCAACTTGGAGAACTTCATTCCTCTTTCCAGCACATCAAAAAATCACATTTAGTGCTCAGAGCTTAGGGAATTCCCTCCCCCTCTCCAAAAATCCCTTGTAGAGGAATTAAAATTGAATTAATTAATCAGTGACACGTCCAAAATTTGGGGATTTTCCCTCTGTCCTGCCCACACCCAAACCATCAGCTCACACAGGACTCGGACACGATTTCTCCAACTCCAAACCTGGAATTCCAACATTTTCCACTGGCAGCTGCTCCAGAATTTTCCCATTCCCCTGTGCCAGCTGCAGCTCTGGCAGCGTGGGCAGTTTTTAGCTGGGAAATGTAAAAATCTCCTTTTTTCAACGTCTTTTTTGGTGAGGTTTGGTTTTTTTTTGGTGTTTGTTGCACTCTGCACTTTCATTCCCATTCCATTCCCTCCTTCCCAACTCTGGAAGAAACAAATGGCACAGAAAAATGGAAAATTAAAAAAGTGCCAATTTCTTTTTGCTTAGCAAAATTAGGAATTTTAGGAATCAGGAATACCAAAGGCATCAGTTACATTGTAATTTATTTTTTTTTGTTATCCTTGTTTTAATTAATTAATTGCTGAAGATCAAAAATCTTCAGAAGTTTTTATTTTGAAAATTTCAAGGCTTTTTTCCTCAAACAAATCTAAAATCCTGCAAAAACTCAATTATTTTAGCATGTTCAACTCAATTATTATAATTATTATTACAATAATTATAATTATTATTATAATGCATGCGTAGGGATTACCAGGGATTATTTTTTCCCCCAAATATCCTATTCCAAAGCAGGAATTTTCCAAGGTGTCAGCAAATTCCAGTTTTTTAAACATCCATTTGCCATCTGAGGTTCATCAGTGTTGTCTGTATCGTGAGGAATTACCTGTAATGTGAATATTTATTTATAATTATATTTATTTATAATTCTTGCTGGTGTATTCTCTTTATTTCCTCAGAAAAAAAAAAATACAAATAAATCCATTTCCTCCCAGAATAAAATCAATTTTCCCATTATTTTATCCACCTTTACCTTTTTTTCCCAGAAAAATTACAAATAAATCAATTTATTCCCGTAAAACATCAATTTTCCCATTATTTTATCCACTTTCCCCCTTTATTTTCCCCAGAAAATTCCACCTGGGAAGAAAAATCAGGTGAGGATGAGGCCAAATTATTTTAAAAGGAATTTTCCCCATCTTGATTTCCTTGGAATCTTTAATCCCCAGCATTCCAATATTTTTAAAAATCACTTTTCCTCCAAATTTCAAACATTCCACCCTCAAACCAAGAACTCAAACTTCCCTCGAAAATGAAAATAATCGGATTTTTTTCCCCATAAATAATTCGGGATAACTTTGGGGTTTTGCTGCTGAAGCAAAGGGATCATTTTGGAATTTATTCCCAGATTTTCCTCTCTGTCCCAGGCAGTCGCTAGATGTCACTCCAAGCCTTTGGAATGTGAATTCCTTTAAAAAAAAATAGGGAATTTAAGTGTCCAAACCCAGGTGTTTGTGACTAAAATCGGGTGGTGTTCTCTGATTTTAACATAAAATAATCGGGGAAAAAGGGAAAGGAGTTTTCCAATTAAAAAATGGAATTATTGAGGATGGAGCCACCGTGGTTTTCCATGGAATCCATGGAAAATTGATGTGGAAACCTAAAGAGAAACCTTTGAAAAAAAACCCTAAAATACAGGAAAAAGTAATAAAATCATTAAAATTTAATTAAAATAATTAAAAAACATTCCTGGATTTTTTAATGGAACAACTCAACCCAAAATCCCAGTCCCTGTGTCCCCTTTTAATCCGGAATTTTTGGGGTTTCCTCAGCTGAAAATCCCATGGATTTGAGCTGGGAAATTTCATTTTCCAAAAAAGAATTTGAATTCCCAAACCTGTCCATGTGGGACCCCTGCTCCAAATTTTTTTGGGATTATTAAAAACTATAGGAATTTAAAATTCCTATTATAATTATTAAAAATTACTCACACTCCAGGAGCTTCCCAGGGGATTTTTTTCTGGGATTGGGAACTAATTCCTCTATATTTTCAACAGGAAGATTCTCCTGGATTAGATGCTGGAATTCGGGGAAAAATTAGAATTTTGTTAGATTTGAGGAACATCTCCTCATGGAAAAACATGGGAAAAGGTAGAAAAATGTGGAAAAATCCGGGCACTGCTCCAAATTTTGAGGAAAACTCAGAAATCCAGGATCCCACGGATCCAAAGAGCTCTGGGGTTCCAAGGCCACCACCAAGATGTCCCCAAAAAATTGGGAATGAGGCTGAAGAACCTCTAATCATGGGGGGAAAAGAGGGAAAATTAAGATACTGCTCCAAGTTTTGAGGAAAACTCAGAAATCCAGGATCCCACGGATCCAAAGAGCTCTGGGGGTGCCAAGGCCACCACCAAGATGTCCCCAAAAAGTCGGGAATGAGGCTGAAGAACCTAAAATCATGGAAAAAAATGCGGAAAAATCTGGACACTGCTCCAGTTTTTGAGGACAACTCAGAAATCCACAATTCCACAGATCCAAAGAGCTTTGGGGGTGCCAAGGAACGTCCAGGAAGCTGGGAAGGAACGTCTCCTCGTGGAAAACCACAATTCCCTCTTTCTGGTGGTCCCCGTCATTCCCTGCTTCCCCTGACAGCCAAAACCCCAGGAATGTGCTGATAAATCCCTGTTTATTTTCCACTCTCCAGCCCTGGCCAAGCGGAGCGGCTCCCACAAAGCACGAGATCCACGAGGAACTAAAAAAGACCGGGAAAGGAAATAATTCCTGATTTTTGAACTGAAGGAAAACGTCGTCGCCACCGCTGCCGGTGATCGATGGATTTGGGGCGGTGCCAGAGGGCTTGGAATCATCACAGCACAAACCACTGGAAAAAAACATTTATCCAGAGCTGCTGCTGGCCGGGACAATTCCAAATATTTACTTTAGGTGTTGATTTTAGGGAAGGACTCGAGCCAGGATCGTGGATCTGGATCTGCCAAAATCCCGACGCTTGAGGTGCTAGGAGCTGGAATTTGGGGCCAATCCTTCTGATTTTATCTTGGCTGATTGTTTCTCCTTCTTTCCATGCCCTGATCCCACAAAAATGAGTGTCCTGCTCACCCTTGGGAATGTGCTGGGCTGGCTCCAGGCCGGACCCGGCTTTGCTAAACTCAAATCCCAGACTGGGATTGATTTTGGAGTTTTTTTTTGCAGTTTCCTGGGTGATTTTTTTTCCCTGCTGGGATTTGCAGCTCCTCGGAGTCCAGAGCTCTGCAGATCCCGCTGTCCCTTCCCAAATCCTGCTGCGAAAAACATCGGGAGAACCTTCAGGATTTTCCCAATTTGAGGTGCTGTGCACAACAACTTGGAAAAATTTTAATTATTCTGCTTTTCTTTGTCGTTCCCTTTAATTCCATAGGGATTCCTGGCTAGGAGAAAGGTTGGGGGTTTTTGTGGGGTGGGGGTCACTCAGCTGCTCCCTGGAATCTTGGAATTAAGGCTGGAAAAACCTTCCGAGATACAAATCCAACATCCAGCACTAAACCATGTCCCCAGGTGCCCCATCCAGGGATTTTGGGATGCTGATCCACAGGTTTGTGGGATGGTTGTCCACAGGGTTTTGCGATGGTGACACACAGGGTTTGGGATGCAGATACACAGGATTTTGGGATGCGGATCCACAGGATTTTGGGATGCGGATCCACAGGATTTTGGGATGCGGATCCACAGGATTTTGGGATGCGGATCCACAGGATTTTGGGATGCGGATCCACAGGATTTTGGGATGGTGGTCCACAGGTTTTTGGGATGGTGATACACAGG